AAAAAAAAAAAAAGAAAAAAAGAAAGAAAACTTGCCCACCGCGGTGCTCCTTCCCTACGAGAGCCCTTATTTAAAAACTGGCATGTCCGTGATATAACACGACATAACGCGTTTCATTGAGTTCATTTCTTGATATACCGACATTGTGATAGGTGCCCCCCCTCAACTACATTTTCACCGAAATATATGTATATATGTATAAAAGATTATTTTGTGTCTTATCATATCTCCCTTTTTGTACATGCGGCTTTCATAAGATTTTGAACCGTCCTGAAAACCTTGCAGTTACACAACACGGATTTCAAAGTCCAGTGAAGTCACACAGCAAATAGAAGACACACTCAAGCGCTTCAAACATCCGGGGCGTGTCCCATGGATGTCAAAGGCTTTACCAGGCTGTAAGTCCTGGCACGAATGTCTGCTACATATAAGGGCTCTAGGCAACGACTCTCTCCTCTGATTCTTCGTGCGATTGCTGTATCACAAAATTTCGCAAAATACGAAATTTTTTCTCGAGCAGTTCCCTCTGCCAGAACATGAAAATGACACAAGTATTTGTACACTGTGATAAAAAATCATTTTGCAGGTTCCCATATAGAAGTGCTTGATGCAGTTTGCATCTTGATCCTTCCGAGTTTTTTTTTTACTAAGAACATTAATAGGCTAACGTTTCGGCGTCAGAAACAAGCCATGAATATTCAAACATTTCCACAACTCTACTAAAGCTCGACACCCTCAGAGCACGCAAGCAATCTTGCCCCTTGTCTCAGAGCACTTCTCCTTCACAAAAAACGGGCTGTTGTTAGGAATATAACCTGCAATAGGTTTCGCACGGCGATATTGCCTTGCTAAATTGCTACTGCAATTTACTTGCCATCATTGTGGGGATGATACGTGGGCGAAACGGCAAGAGTACCCCACGTGAGAATCAAAGAGCATCAAGATGGCATGAATCGATTGGAAGAGTATTGATTTAGAGGTCCACTGCATCCGAAACCATAACGGCTACCGTGGAGGTCGTGGCACAGTAGTCGCACTTGCGAGCAAAAGATCCTTGAAGCATTTTGGATACAGGCTGGCACTTCGAAAACAAGCCGGAGGGAAGAATGCCTCACAATTATGCGGGAACTGAGGCCTTATGTAGGGTTGGCATTTCCACAGTAATCTAGAGGAGAACAAAGCCCAGCTGACACTAGTCCAATTATCGCTTGCCAATTATCGGTGGTTTCGAGAAATGCAATCGAATAATGTTGGCTCCTCTTGAGACTACGCGCGTGTCTTGAAAAGTCTCAAACTTCAGTGGGGCTGTGGAAACGTTTGCCTGAATATACACAAATTTTCCCCATTTCAGAATCGCGAGAAGTTTCTTTCTCCGAAATGTTATGAAAAAGTTATCAATAAAAACCTCGCGAGAGTTTTATATACAAACCCCACGTTATTTCAAGCATGAATAATTTTTCTTTGAACGTTTTTCGTAGGAGGTCGAAGGTGGTCAAGAAAACATACCACAGCCCAGTAGAAAATGATGCAAGTTCGCCCAAGCTAAACACAGGGATGGAAAGGGAAGTGGCGATCACACCTAGCTGCAGAACGGTATTCACCTAAAAAGTATCGGTTAGAATTCAACTGGCATGAAAAAATTCGAATATTGCACAAGAAGCAGTTATTATATGAAAGTAAGATCTTGAGCATTCGATGATCATTTCTCAAACGCTCGTGTAAAGTGCCAATCTATCAACCGTTTTTCCCGAGGATTTATTCGAAAAGCGCTAAACGAGCAGATTAGTGCTTGCGAGAAGCGTCGGAAGTAACCAAGTTCTCACCTTGCTAACGAGCGTGGGAACAACTTGCATGGAAGAAACCTCAGGATTGAAAAATCGCTTCAGAGAATACGGAGGTTCCATAGTGCGATACCTTTTATAGAATCCACCTGATATCAGGCACAGATCACGAAATAAAACCACAAATGTGAGTTGCCCTAAAAAATATAGAAATATGTTGAACTGATCAAGATCAAGAACTGAACTCTCACTATTACCACAATATCTGCCAGAATGCTTCAGAAGTCGAAACGCGATTCGATAAAGTGTGCCTTCTTAGGGCCAAAGCTTTATGGACGCACTAGCTCTGGACTTCTTTGGCTCGCTATTAGTCCCTATCAGTTGTTATCAATCCCTGTCTCTAATCTGTCCTACTCCTTCCAAATCCCGTGTCTCACAGAAGTGCCAAAGCTTCACCCTCAACACAAAGTGGGTAACAAATCCTGTGGATTTTGCCTTCCAGCGCCCCTTATCAGTTCCTATCGACTGTTATCACTTGCTACTACCCATCAGTCAACCAACACAGACGCACACACACAGAGAACCAACAGACGCACTTAGCGTGTTGCATATAGAAAGGTCCTTCTGACTTCTTAAAATCCCACCCACTGTTCTCGTGTCATGTTGGAGCCAACTTAACACTTCAATCGACCGAACGTGTCTAGTACTCCAAATGAGAGAATCGAAACTTCATGTCTACTTGCGGAAGTTGGTGAGATTTCCTCGAATTTGATTGTGGAATAAAATAGATGTCGGGACGCACTGTGCAGTACACGTCGACCTCTCAACTATAATACTTATTCTTGAGAGCTGTGCCGTATTCTCATTCTCATTCGTTTCCGAATATTTGCAGACCGCAATTAGCAATGAGTAAAGGAGGTCGACAGTTTCCATTAATGAAAACAATAGCTCCATATTCAGGAAATGCCTAGCTTTAGTTAAACTACCATTAAACCATATACGCTTTTCACAACGAGTACGTGAAGTTGCCATCATATATTGTATTCGGTAATGTATCAGTTACGATCCCCAGTGAGATACCATAAATAAGCCCCTCTGCGTAGATTTTTGAGTGAACAGGGAGGATACCAAGTGGTGAAAGGTGTAATTGAGAGTGGAACATGGATACTTGTGGAGTAACCACCCGTTCAGCAACCATTGCTGACAGAACCGCATTCTTTCCAACACTGTCAGAAAGTTTTTCACTGTCAACGAAGGTGACAAGGGGCATCCGGAATCTCGGCACGCTTCGATGATCATGGCGACTTCTTGGATGTGGTANGCAGTTGAATCCCTTCTGAAATCCAGACTGTTCAGCAAGTTGAGCTTCATCCAGTGTTTGCGATATGCGGGACAGAATGGTCTTTGTGAACAGCTTGTAAAGGTTACTCAATAAGCTCATCAGGAGGTAGTTGCGAAGATGCACCCCCGCCTCCCACCTCGTAAAAAAACCATCAGCGAGTTCCTTTACTAGCTGGAAATCCTATTCTTCCGGAAGAAGGGTGTCACGTGTGTTGCGAGAAGCGTATGAAGTTCCTGTTACTCGTACGTAGTCGATCGGCTGAGATCTTGTCGAAGCCCGGTAGCCTTTTTTCATGCTCGAAAACGCAGCTATTGCCTACGAAGGAAGAACCCTAAGGACTGCTGTCGAGCGGGGATTTATAGATTTCCCACGTGTGTCGTGGATGAGTACATAATTGGGTAAAACCTCTCCATCTCCAATCATGATGTTGTGAGAGTCCCGTTCTTCTCCTTTTGACATGAAAATGAGATCCCGTGGCTTGAAGATCTCGCCGGCATTTCTTCAGAATAGATCTACCAGGGCTGCCTTAAGTAGTCCCCTCTCCCTCTACAGCTGAAGGCTTCGCCGCACTGCTTGTTCGCAGCTGATATTTGCTTGCAGCCTTTCAAGATGTGTTGCGTCCTAGTAAGGCTTTAGCTTCCATCTTGAACTGAGCGAACCCTTTTAAAATGTGAGTGGATGCATCCATCCCAGGAAGCCTGTCCTGTTCAACACAAATGAGAAGACCCCGTACCAGCGCGTCGTAGTCTTCGACCGGATCATACATGACCTGGCAGTCATATCAAGACGTACCGACGTTCAGAACATCCTCTGTTCAACGTGTTCAAGATCTTTGCGCAATGTTGAGAGATCCTCTCTAGTTTGTGAATGAATCTGATCCTAGCGCGGAAGAGTCGATGAATAGTTCCTTTGCAGAGAGATGGTGCCGCAGCAAAATCCAGTACGCACCATTTTCGGTTTGTTAATATGTAGTCCAATTCCGCATAAGTTGTTCCATTTGGAGATTCCTATCTCAGCGGGGACTTTTCCTTCTCTCAAAAGTTGCTATGGGTGAATTGAGCCGCGGACAGAAGTCTTGCCGCACAGTTCCCGTTTACGTTTCTGTCCCCCATTCCAAATTTTCCAATCCTGTTCTACTCCTCTGATACTTCGCCAAGCCTTGCGCTAAAATATCCAACAACGAACTTGGAGAAGGACCTCTCGTTGTGGATTGTCTCCTCCAGCCGGTCGTAAAAAGCATCGAGCTTTACTTCGAACCCTCGTTTGCGAATGTCGTAAGCGTAGGAAGGCAAAATGAGGTGAGAGAATTTCGTGGGAGTTGACGAGATGAAAGATTTACGGGTGACGGGGTTCGCGATGAGAGTTCTTTACTACGAATGATAAGGGTTTCACCATTCATTCGTTGTACGTCAGTCCTCTTGCACTCGGATTCTTGCAGTGCAATAACATGATATTTAAAGTGACTTGTCGCTCAGCGGAGCTAATGAAGAGCGGCATTGGGAGAAATCGTTGTCGCGTTGTAGGTAAGAAGCAAGAGACATTCATCATTGAGTGAATAGGGCGCGCTGACGTGGCTCAAGATCCAAAACGTCCTCCGTAAATTGGGATTCCTTCGCTCCTTACAGGTTGCCATACCGTCCGACGGCAGAGACGAGAGATTGGCCAGAGAATCTGTCTGCGTGAGATTCCAGACCATACAGACCGGAAACGATGGTATGAGGGCATGTGGCAGTGAGACAGGTCGTCTCATCTTTGATTGGTTGGCTCCAGTCCAGAACGCAATCAATAAGACGAAGTCTACCGAGGCTTGTTGTGCACAACCTTAAAATTGGAAAAAACAGAATTATTGTTATTACACAAGCCGAGAGTGGTTAAAGCACAACATGCCCATACGCCGCCCGTTTCACCCTCCCACCATGCTTAGATTGTGAGCCATCGAGAGTGGTGCGGAGATTGCCCACTTTATCGAGATTTTCTACCTCCATTTCCCCCTTTTCCATTCAGCTCAAGGAAACCTTTGTTGCGAAAGGAAGTAGTCTTACGAACAATCTTTTAATCTAGAGGTGAGGGAAGGGGGTTCGCCATATCAAATTACAATCCTATGAGTGTCGTGCTGCTTTACCAGAAGCAGTTTGTTTCCAACAAATACAGGCATCCCAATTATCTCACCCATATCATCATTTGATTGCGCGGAAACAAAATAAAGATATCTTCTTCTTGGAAATGAATTTTGCAGATCAAAAATCTTCATGAGGGCTCATTACTATGTACACATACGCACTTGTTCACCTAGTATGCCAGTAAACCCATTATGAACTCTGAGAATTAAAAACTCAGTTCAAGGGTGTCCAAAACAATACACACAGGATGTTATTGACTGTAATTGAGTAGATTAACTTACGTACAAGGTATGAGAGCAGCGTATGTCATTGTTACAAACATGACGCTAACAAGTAATTTATCGGCAATGGGATCCAGTACTGAACCGAGCAGCGACTGTTGGCCGGGTATGTTTCGTGCGATGAAACCGTCCAACTTGAAAAAAGGAGACGAAATCTAGCTATGTATGTATACGAGCAAGTAACACCAACCATGTCGGTGACTCCAGCTGTCACGAAAAGGCCAAATGCGATTGGAAATTCGTGTTGCACAACGAGGTATCCAGCAATAGGAGTTGCAATAATTCTGAACAGTATCTAATGGAACCAAGATCAATTCATCATGTGGAAACATAGTAAACACAGTTGGGCTACGCACACTCTCTAAATGCTTATCTACGATATTTTTCGAGAAGAAAATAGAAGAACTTTCTACATTCCGTGTACCTGACGTTTTACCCGGAATTCTGCTCGTCTTTTATCCCCTGAAATGACGCGTCCAGAGTGAGGAACTAAGAGCACAGCGTCGTCCCCGACAAAAAGGAGAGAAAGTCTGATCTACACTCAAACAGGCACACAAAACTAGTGTTATATATATATATATAGAGGATGTAATAAATATAATACTTTGGATTAGCTATAAGGCATGTATATATAAGTTTTAGCTATATCCAGAGTTTACATAAAAAGTGTAAAAAAGAAGTTAATCCTGTTTTTGGGATGCATCCCCATTCGATTTCCATCCATAATCGTACCAGTGTGTTGGACTTCACCGTCCTTCAAGTTTATTGTTTATACACCAATGTATATATCTACCTTAGGAGCTGCATCTCATGAAATCCCCTTAGCAAGTAGAAAAGAGGTTCTTTCCACACCACCAGCACGAGAGAAATATAAGAGGAAATCATTAATATACTTTGTTTGCCAATTTTACTCTCTAAATGGTAAAAAAAACCTCACTAGCTCATATGCGATGGTGAGTCCAGGACTTCGATACGTTTGTAATACCATTTGTAATTCGTTTGTTTCTGCTCAAGCTCTCCCTATGTCTCTTGCTGTCAGGCAGTGGTGTAATAGATAGTGGTGTAACCCGAGTAAAAGTCGCGAGTGAGATGATTAAGGACTCCTTTAAACAGGAAGGACGTTGCAATTCGCCCACATCATTTTTCTAAGCTTCATGACTCTATCCGAAGTCCTCAGCACGTGTCGTGAACCCGTTATCGCCCCCAACAAATGCTCCAGTGCAGGTTCTGCATGTAAGTTCTTTACACTATTATTCGCTGTCCACGGATCACCTTCACTGAGAGTTCTCTCTCACTGAAAAAACCCAGCCGTTTAGCGACGAGGCTACGTAGGGCGACCCAGGTGGCGGATAGGGGGATGAATCGCCGACCAAAAGTCACCGGTAACTGCTCAAAGACGCAGGTCGATTTAAAGGCACGGTTCACGATTAAAAAGAAGGTTACTGAGTTCTTCCTTAAGGAATACTCAGCGCCCCCCATGGGTGGTAGAAGGGACCCTCTCGTTCCCACAATCTCGGCGCTTAGGGCATAGTGGAAGCCCGTCGCTGCCGTAGTTCGCTTTCCCGCCCCTCGATCGGTGTCACGTTAGACGAGTGTCGAGACAATACAGATTGCTAGTATTCGTTCTAGGACCCACGCACAATCAGCTAATCGCCGAGTGATGAGGCGATGTTTTTCTCCCATTCTTTTTTCCGCTGTTTTTCTTTTTGCTGCCGCGATCCCTTATTTAATTTCCTACTCCTAGAGGCTGAAAAAAGCGAGTTACTTTTGCTGTTACTAGGGTTTTCTTAGTTTATTTATGCTTATAAGCGAATGAATTTTTGTTTTCCATTGTCTTTTATTCGCACCAGGACACACACGCGCGCAGTGAAACACACTGTTTAGCTTTAGTGAACGGACGCCCCACTCTTCTTCATTTTTCTGGTTTCATTCTCGTCCAGCCCCCTTTTTAACGGTTTTTCGAAGCCTTTTTTTCACTTTGGAGACACCGATGAACGCAGTTTCTTCGCCTCAGTCGCACTAGTTTCGATCTTGTCTTCCATTTTTCATCATAATCTGGATTACCCAAAATTATCGTGAACTGTGCCTTTAAGAGATGGACTCCCTGTTTCTACTGTGCTGGTCGACAAACCTTCCGTATATCGCAGGTGCAGCCACGCATACATGTATGGAGAGTCAGCGGGTAAAGTGGATACCCGCAGACTCTCCATGCCTGGACCATCGACTCAACCAAAAGCAGTTGCCCATCGACTCAGCCAAAAGCTTGCATTCGAGTGAATGGGAGCTATCTGGGAGGCGATTTAAGGCCGCCTCCAAAAAAAATATTTCTGATCCTCGTCCACTTTGGGATAGCCTGGCTAGCTACTCCTAGTAAACCCTGCCTACACGTTATAGCCTGGCGAGCTATTCGTGGGTACTCATATGCCATAACAGTAACATGAATGGGCCTAATTTCACTAGAGCTGAAGAAGCCCATAGTACGATAGCGAGAGTAGGCCCTCAAGCAGGAACAAACTGCTAGAACTTTTGAGCCAAAACAGGCTGCCCAAAAGGAAAAAGACAGTGATGACGATCTGTACTTTCATTGCTTGCATCGGAAGCGTGTATCGAAGATCTGATGATGCGAGCTAGAAAGATCAAGTACGAAGTCATTGGAGTGACCGAGACGAGAAGGTATAGCCCGCTGCATGCTGAATCTGAGACTGGAGAAAAACTGTTCCTTGAAACATGCGATAACAGTAGAATCGGACGTCTGCGAAGACGTCAGAGGATGCGGCTCAACCCTCTTCTAACAGTCTTCGTTGCTCATACAACATCAAACCATGAGGAATAGGAGCTAAAAGCGCCCTACATGAAGCTGTTAGGGCTCTCCGGAGAGCCGACAGTTTCTCGAGATTATCGTCGGTGCTTTCTACGCAAACCTGACGGCTGTCCGAGTTTGTCATGTCATGTCACACTGATCATGGTAATTCGCTGTCACTTTTGCGGTAGACAGAAGGGGGAGTAATCTGCTAATCTGGTTTGCTTGGGAAAAATCTGGTGGACAGCTCTATAATCAAGTAGATCACACCATCGTCAATCGAAAGTTCTGCCTGGCGGACGTTGCGCTCCGCGCGAGAATTCGCTTTTCAGCGCGAGGAGAAAGAGAAAGGGGTGAAGTTCAGAAATCGAAGCCGTTGTCAATAACAAGATGAATTCCCTTCGTCGTCCAAACGGAACACTCACTGCATCTCCAAGAGCTGGGGAGAATGACATCTGATCTGTCTGACGTTCATCGATTTGAGGAAGGTCCTTGATACCGTCGAGACAGGAGCAGTAATTCAAACTCTGTGCAACCAAGACGGGTCCGGTAAGGCGATACCCTTTCGCCCAAACTTTCAGTGCCGCTCTCAAGAACATCATGCGTCGTTTGGAATGGGAAGAATAGGGAGTGAAGGTCGACGGCCGCTACTTACATCACCTCCGCTTTGCAAACGACATTGTGCTTATATCACCGAACATCGAGCAGGCGGAAGAAATGCTTGCCGAATTCGACAGTGCTTGTGGAAGGCTTGAAAGTGAACTTAACGAAGACGATGTTTATAAAAAATTGCTGTTAAACGATGCTCCCTTCGCTTCGCTCTCCCTCTGAATGCTCTAGCTACGTATATCTAGGCCGAGAAGTCGACCTAGCCCTGGAGCTGAGCTGAAGGAAACGCGCCGCGTGGGTAGCACTTAAGAATATCAAAGGGGTGGTGGAGAATACAAAGACGTTTGGTTCCACGCTCCCTTTTCAAAACTGCTGTCTTTCCTGCTCGAAGGAGAGCAGGATGATCATGCTATCAGCATTACTCAACGTGCCCCGGAAAGGATGATGCTCGGAAATTCCCCTTACACGCAAGTGCAGAAAGGAATTCGGAGTTCCGAGCTCCGTCAACGAACGATGTTCAGGGATGCCGATGATTACGTCAAGAAATCGAAGATCAGGTGGGTTAGACACGTTATGCAATATCGTGGTGACCGCTCGACAAGGGCAGTTGCTGACTGGATCTTTGGGGACGTCAAGCTACCAACGCGATGGTCAGACTTCTTCACGAAAGCTCTAATCGGAAAGAATGGCGTGCCTTGTGTACCTGAAGCAAGGACGATTCACTGGACCACTATGGCTCACGACAGGGACGAATGAAGACGGTATTGGCACCGGCTCGAGGAAATTGATCAACGGAAGAATAGGTAATACAGGTGATCATACACTGTAGATGCATATTGTGGAATCTGCCTCAACATTACTCATGTCTTGACAGTGAATATGTGAGTCAAGAGTGCTGTTATATAGTATACACTTCAGTCATGATCGGAAGCCAGGTGTGGATGTGAACGATCCCTATGGGTTAGATCATCTTCGCATAAATCTCGAAGCAAATCATTATTACCTTCCTATACATAAAGCATTAGGTACGGTGCTGAGTTTGTAGCGGCCTCTATCCATACCCGATGGCGATCCTCTCTCCTTGACATCTTTGCCCGCTTTTCCATTTGGTGAGGAAGTCAAGAAGGATCTGGAATATCAACTGATTCGTAAACCTACCAACAACAATAATGATCATTGCACTGAACAATTTAAAAACCAAAAATGTAATATCCGTTATAGTATACATTACAGACCGCTGGTTATTAGAACACTCACAGCAACTCATAGCAGACAGTGACCGGCAGTTCTCAAAAAGTCCAATCCAGCGGATCGCGAAATGCCTGAAATTGCGCGGGCACACAAATTCGACACAGGGGCCCAAAGAAGGGGCCTAAACGGCATTGCAATTGGTATTCAATAAGAGGTCACGCCTACGCTTATTATTGTTTCCTAGAACTGGGCAATGTTCAGCCCTCGGATTCAACAGGTCTCCTTGTTAGGTTTATCAACGCAGCAAGAAAAGGTGCTACTGAAAAAAAGGTTCCTCTAGGTGCGTGCCTTTCAAGAGGATTCACATTGGAATTTTTGTTAAGATTTAATCATGGAGAATAAAGCGTTAGGGATTTAACAGGATGGAAACTAACCAGCAGCATCTTTAACTATTAGAATGAGATGATTCTGTCCAAATTCAAACGCTTAGAAGCTGCCTTGCGGATATCCCCCTCGATGGATGCGATCTCCTATCTGTCCGAGTATCTTCGTAGAGGTATGGCTTTGTTTGACTCGGCTAGTCTCATAGCTCGAGACATTATTCGAACGCGCTCAAAAAAGACGCTGGACTACAGTGAGTAATAAAGGGTGCGACACAGTCGCAGCTGATGAAGGCTGGTGAGAAATCTGAGGAGATTTATAATCTCTAACCCTTTTGGCATTAATATTATGACCTTGACATTTCGACGAAGTTCATTGCAAAAGACGGGATGATAAGACAGTCTCAAGGAATGGAAAATAAGTGCAGTGCTGTATTCGAGCCAATGTAGCCGATGTAAGGAGGATGACGTTTGGTCCATTTCTTGCTATAAGATTGAGACGATTACGGTTCACGGTATGCGACTGAGTGAAGACCACACATTCTATTCATTTTGATATCAGATTGCACAAAACCGATTCAATCATCAACCATTTGAGATTTCGGTTGATGATTCATATACATACATGATTATAAGAAGGCTTTGAACACGGGATTCTGACAGGTACTAGCATCAATCAACAGGTCATCAATATCACAAAGAATTAGGTTGATAACAAGGTTGCTCAGTTGCAGGAAAGCCCGTGCGCCAGTAGGCTCAGAGGGAAGGACTCAGCTCCTAATGGATGGCAATGTTAAACTCGAGAACGACAGACGGATATTTCGTTATGGTAAGCGATAAGCGCAGGCGCCTCTTTCCGAATTGGTAATATCCGCATTACCGGAGGATTCTCCTTGAAGATCAGATGTAAACATACGAGAGATTACAAAAGCAACCAAGTATTACGACCGATAGATTAACCCCAATTCATACCGCGCTTTTGTCTCTGCGGGTCCGCGTGCTGCACATGCACATGGTGCAGCACGCTATTGTTCAGCCATTTTATCTCTGTACCACGTTTTTTAATGCTACAAAAAGGTATGTATACATATGTATTTTGCCCTGCCATATTACGTACTAAATATCACAATATCAACAAATTCTTACAACAAGTTTAATGGAACACCTCCTGCGAGATGACTAAAACAACTGAGCAAAAAAATTGAACACAGTTTGAGTACTTTATGTTCGCAACACAGCGTGAGTTCTGGCGTACGGAGCACCATAATTCGCAAAACGTTCTCGTAACAACTGAAGCATCTTCTCCCTGGAGTCCTTTTTGGTCTAGTAATTTGTAAAGGGTGGGTCCTGAAAGCATAGTCTCTGGAGGTCTCCATCCTTCAAGAATGGACTCAGTGATGCGACACATGAACTCTTTGATCGCGAACCTTTCCGTCACCACGGAAAGTTGACTACGCTGGTTTGAGTAATCAGGTGGAAAAAAGTATAAGTACCGCTCGGTCGATTTTCATACAAAAGGAGTGTATGAACAAATTTGGTCGGATAGGTCAACGAATCCCTCTGCCAGATTATAGTCATCTACCATCACTGGCTTGTTGGATTAACCTTTAGCAGCACGTCCATAACATGTATATTTCCCTCTTGTCCTCCCATTTACGCACAGTACAGCATTTAAACACGTCTTTACTCTTCTGTCTGACCACGATCTCTCCCTTCTTGAGGAGCGTTCTGGCACCTGCAGGAATTCCGAACCGGTTTTCCATAGAATTCCGATGTGGGTAAGTCTTTTCTCTATCAGTAACAAGCGCAATAGAGGTGTAAAAGTTGTCTGCTGTGACGGTCCTCCTTTCGTTCACCCCACAAGGAGAAGTTTATTGGATTGAGGTCTGGCGAAGAGGAAGGTCAGATATTCCTGTTTCAGTACCTAGAGGAGTGTGCAGCGACTACGACTTCAGTCACTAACAGGCATGTGAAGGGGTCCAATCTTGTTGAAGGACAACGATCGGTCACCGAAGTGCTCACTGACTGAGATTAAGGAATATTGCTTGCGATTTTCAAGTTGCAATTTTCAAAAAGCTTGTGATTCTCTTCTAGCAATGTCACAAATCTAGGCAAGTTCACTGTTCTCGGCCGCACATTCTCGAGTCCTAAGGGCAGCAGAAGCATTTTGAATGTTGAAGAGGGAATGTCGAGTAGCTTCGCGACAATCCAACTCCTACGACCTTCTTTCAGCAACTTCTCGATGGTGGATCGTTGCGTCGAAACCTTCATTGCGACGGTTTACGTAGACGTTAAATCAAATGACCATATTGCTATAATACTTGCACAGCTTCTGTGCTTTCGAAGAGCTTTCAAAGTTTTTGGGAGTACCCATTGTTAAAGTGCCGGCAAGCGCTGGACGGAGGGTCTTATGCCTTTCAGCCACCCTGTACATACACCAGCTTTCTGAAATTCGAAACTGAATGCTTGAAAAGTAATGAAGGTTTTGACGTGCGTACCACTCAACTACCCTTGAACATCCAAGCGCAGTTGGAGATACTGTGTCAGTGAGTAATCAATCGACTCTATCGCTTGTGGGACGTGTACCACCTCGTATTCTTACGGTTATCGATCTGCCGGATCGAGCACCAGTAAGTCTACATTCTTTTGCGTCGAGTCAGTGTATCCCAGTAGTCGAGACGGTCGAGACACACAGAACAGATCATTCTTCCATACATTAACTTCGAAATAAGGCCTGCTTCAACGATTCGACGGTGGAATGCATAAACGATAAGATATTCATTGTAATATATATTGCTTTAAAAAGTCATAGAATACAGTCTCGTACCACCACAAAGGTGAGTCTAAGTGATTGTACAACCGGTTGTTGGTTGTTTTGTCTTTGGTATTGACGGTGATGGGTCCGACGAATCGTTGCGCTTTGCTTCTCCCCATCGAGCTGTTTGTATCGCAAGACGAGACGATTGTCTGTCCTACTTGAATTGAGCAATTGAAGAGCTGAGGATGAGGAGATCGGAAATGAGAGCACTGCCGCTCGCAGCACTGCACACCTGCGGAACCGCAGAGCTGCGGAGTCGCTGAACTGTGTAACTGGCATAAACTGGGGATTTACCCCAGTTTGGTAACTGGTATATCCCTAAAAATGGGCGATAAAATGCCACACCCGCCGCGTATCGCAGAAATGGGCTGGAAGATTGGAGCGCGCAAGTTTTGAGTGAGGGAGTCCTTCAATTATTTACATTTGCTGGCCACTTTCTTCAGTCCGGATGAAATCTTGATCGTCGATAATAGAGAAGGAGTCATTCGGAACAACCAATACCCACTAAACAACACACTAAACATAAAAACAAAAAAGAAACAGGAAAAACAATCAAAATCAATCAAAAAAGAAAAGCAGTCAACGAAAAATACAGTGTTCTATCGATTGGTCGGGAGGCGGGATAGTTCGGTAAAGGCAGTTTGAAACCGCGAGAAAACTAAAAAAAAGTTTCGCTGCATGCCGCAACGTGAACGTGGTAGATCGGGGGGGGGGGGG